AGTCTGTCCAAAATCTGTGCCAGTATACTGCACATTGGGTCCTCTTTCTTTTTTCTTTTTTTTTTTCTTTCCTTGTCTTGTTGCTTCTTTTCTTTTTGTTGGTGTTAAGGATATATATTCTCCTTGTTTTGGTCTCTTTCGACTAAAGATGCCTTGCTTACTCCTGGTCTTGTATTAGTATTTTTTCTGATTTGTGTGCCTTCTTTTTCACCAGGGGATCTTTCTTTCTCTTTCTCTTCTGTTGAGAGGAGTTTTCTCTTTTCTTTTTCGTATTTTCTTGTTCTTGAGCTTTCATTTTCCCCTCTGTAAGTTAGGCTACCCCATCTTCTGCCTGGGTGTTGTTTTGTTGTATTGTAGTGCCAGTTTTTTCTGTAGTTTTCCTTTTCATACTCAACTACTAGCAGTTGCCACTGCAGTTTTTCATTGAAGTAGTATATGTTTGATCGCTAGGCACAAAGCATGTCCTCTCTCGTTTAAAGTATATAAAGGCTCTTCTACTTTGGTGACTATTACTATTATTTATTGTATAAGCTGCTTGTACCTTGTATCTTTTTAGTTGTTGTAATAATAAGCAGTCTAGAGCTGTCTTTGGTACATTGTTAATTGTACATTTATATTTATCTCTTTCATCAAGCAGAGCTTTGTTAAATTTTCCAGGAGTTATTCTATGCATTTTTTCTTGCCCTAGCTGTATCGACTATCAGCTATTTAGTGGGTGGCTGCCTTTACTTGTATTTGATGTTACCTTTACAAATACTGCTTTTTTCCCTTTTGAACAGTGCTGCTAGTCGAGAATTGATATTATTCCATAGTGTTCAAGATAAAACTTAACTTCTCTTCCACCAATATTTCTTGGCAAGTTCCAAATAGTGAAGGCATAGCTTGATTTGACAGCTTGCTATTGTAATGTGAATTCCCCTTTAGAGGCTCATACCAAGTTGTAAATATCTTTCTGCCTTTTCTGTTTCTTGCTATGTTTATTGTTTAAATATCTTTCTCTGTTTGGCAGGTCTTTTGCGTTTTGCTCTTTTAACCCATAATCAGTTGTACTTACTTCACTTTTAAGTAATGCATTTTTTGTTTCTTCTACATCTTCTTCTGTTATGATACTACTATTATCTTGTTCTGTTAGAATTCTCTTTTGTGGATTTTCTGGGTTTTTTAAGATATCTTTACGGCTATGCTTGTTTGCTACTTTTATAGTATGTGTGTTATTTGTATTAATATAGCAAAAGTCCATCATAATTGGGCCATCCTTGCTCTCTATACATGTATTCATATGCATTTCGATATCTGTATCATGACTGAGGAGTCTTTTTTCTTCTTTGGCTAGGGGCTGTTTTCTAACTTCTTTGCTTTCTGCCTACTTAAACTTTTCAATTACATTGCGTACTACTGTTATAAGATGTATGTCGTTTGTACCTAAGTACTCTGCTACGTGTGTATCTTTTTTCCATATTGTTGCACATTATTTATCATAGACTAATCTTCTCTTCCTCTCTGTTTGTTTGAAAAAGCCTCTAAATACTTCTAATGATGGCATATTGGTTCGATTACTCAAAAGTCTTGTATTTTTGCCTTGTCATTTGTTATCCGCACCAATTACGTGTTTTTACGTGTTCTTATGTGTCTTCTTTATAAAGTAAGCATTTTCTTACATTGTATGACCAAGTGATTTGTGTTTCACCAAGGATCTGCAAAACAGGGTAAATGCTGATTTCCCACTTTTATTTTGCAAAATTATCCTGTAGTTTTGACAGTTGTAGTTTTTACGTTCTGCCTTGATACTTTATAAATTCTTTGAGGTTTAGGGTTCCTTTTAAGTTGGCTTGAATCTCTGTATATGTTTTAGCTAGCTTGGAAAAGTAGTTTCTCTTTTCTTGTAGCTCATTCTCTCTTTTCAACACGTTTGATTTAAAAATTCTATTTTGTTTGGTTTTGTGTCTTCTGTGCTGTTGTTTCTGTTCAGAAACTTTATACACTAGCTAGAGTTTGGCTTTTATCTTCTTCTTTTGCAATATAGTTGCTAGTTATTGTCATTTAAACAATATTTTATGTCTTTTTCTTCTTATAAATTTATGTACCAAATGATCGTCAGGGAGAGTTGTCTCACAACTTATAATTTAGTTTAATAATAATAATAATAATTAATAATAATAATAACCTAAATTAATTAGTTTCTCTTTCCACTTTTCTAATGAGCTCAATTCATTACTATCAAAATAAATAAGTTTTTTTATTACATTATACACAATTGCATATATATCATCTCATGTTATAAAAGCGTCTCGTAACATTTGAACATCCTGAAACTGGCCTTCAGCATCATTCCTTATTTGATCTTTAAGTTCGATTGCTCTAAGTCATAAAAACTTTTGTATGCTAAAGGCATCAAGTCCTTCAAGAGCATGTTTTTGAATAAAATCCCAGATATTTTGAGAAAGTGAAAGTATACATAAATCGAATAAGTGGCCGGGATAATGGTTTATATGTTTATAATAATAACACACGGTCACAGTGGATGAATCAATAGGAAGGGTAACATGAATAGAACTCTTGCAACCGCACTTTTTAGTTTCTTTTTGTGTAATTTGTGGTTTTATATTTGGATTTTCTCCTGCAATACTTTCATATGTTCCATAATGGTGGCAATACCACCGCTCTGTCCATTTGTTTTTTCTCCTACCACTAGGGTTGGAAAATTAACATAATTTTATGTAAGTTTGTGTAAGTTTCTGAAATCAAAATTACATGTAATTTTTATCATGTAAATAATTTTGGCAAAAATTTTTATAAAGCTGGCATTAAGAATAAATATAAATTACATTTCCGAACATAATGATGGATTTCTATTAGTGCTGGCAAAACTTTTATAATGCCGGTACAATTATCATGTGACAATGCACTATTTAATGTAAAATTACATTACAGTTTCGTAATTTACAATGTAATTTCATGTAATGTAAAAATGTAATTTTGCGTAATACAACCCTACCTACCACTGCCCCATTTGCTTCGACGATCATGGCGAACATAGCTTAATCCTGCCTTTTCAAGGCTTTCAATCCACATTTCATAATCATTTTCTGGAAGTGAAAAGGTCTTCACTCTTTCCATTTCTGATATCCCTTCCGGCACCAATTCATCATCATCATCAACTGCCTCCCACATGTGTCCAACACTGTCCATTGCATCTAAAATTGAATCAAGTACATTATCTACATTATCATCGTCTAAACCCGTATCGATTTCTTGGACTTCCTCATCAATATCAAATATTTCATTTATATCAGGTGGCGTCAACATAAAGTACTGTTTTAAGGCAAGCATTATAATTTTAGCACTAATAACAAACTTTCGCATAAGATACTGATTTTTTTTAGATACATAAAACCAACCACAAGATAAATCTTATTTACGAATCTTAAATATCAGAACAGGCTAGACTTTATTGAATTCAGAACGAAAGTTCCTGGTCATGTGATAGTGAGCGAAAATAATTTACCGTTATATAAAATAGGAAACTCAATGTATTAATCTTTTCATAAGAGCAATAAACACGTTAAAAAAATATTATTTTTATTATTGCAACATACACACTTGAAAAAAATGAAAAGGTTAAGCGAATGCGAAGAAGTTTTGACACTCAAAAGCTAATTTTTCGAGTAAGTAATTAATTACTTGTATGGATTTGTTATTGACAAAAGCATTTGTCGAAGGTTTGTTTTTATACATATTTTTCTCTATCGTAATTACATCATATTTTAACCATACAATTTTTGACTTCAAATTAACTTATTAATCACGCCATTTTACTATCTATTAATTACGACATTTCTAATGCATTCTCATTATGCTTCGATTAACTTTCGTAATTTATTTATACGTCACTAACTAATCAATTCACAAGTCTCTGCTGTGATCCCGATCAAATGATCAAACACGTGGACCACGTGATAGTTTGATAGATCTAATCACCTTCGATGAGTTTTTTTTTTTTTTTTTGTAACTACTTTATTGTTCCATATACGTTTAATGCCCAAACTTTATGCACCATACAAAGAGCCCAATATATTGCGTTTTGCCATCATCCTAGTAATGACATACTTATACATGTGGCCGAAACTATTGCAGCTTATTTGAAACTACAATCCTTAAATATTCGGCCACGCGTATATACATAATAACAGTTTAATATAAGCCAAAATAATTTAAATAATTTCGACCACATGTATAATAAACACGTCAAAAAGTATTATTTTATTATTGCAACATACACGCTTAAAAAATAAAATGAAAAAGATAACGTCTGTCAATAAATTTTTATTTAAAACGATTTTGATCAAATTATGAAATAAATTAACCTTTTTATGAATTCGCAACATAAACATTTGAGAAAAGAAAATGCAAAAGAATTTTGGTCAAATGAAAAAATAAAAATTAACTGACTCTTGTGATGCAAAACAGCTCGATCGGCTTGGATGTATTGAGTTGATGAAAAACTGATGAATCATGTCGATCACGTCCAAGCCACATGTGCAGTTACGTAATCAATTTTGTCCAATCAGCGATAGGAAGATCATCACCCAATCAGATGGTGGGGGGTAAATTAGTAAAATCATATTCAAACTAGTAGTATCACATGACTATATGTCAGCCAATAATATACAAGCAAATGTGTGTATAATTTTTTATATTAGATAATTTTAGGCAGGCACTCCAAGCAGATGCGCATCGTATCGATATCTATAGTATAAATATAAAATTGGGCCGATTTGACTTGGACCGGACGGGCCATAAAGCTACTTTTTTTTTAACAAATTTAAATTTAAAAATCTACCTGGCAGACTTAAATATATATATATATTTCGCCAGATAAGAATACAAGAATTTGAGCATTTTTTAAAATAACACCCGCTTATGTTACAGAAGAAATTCGGGAATTATTATATGTGTTAATGATAGATTTGATAATCTCAAATTGAATCGATTCGTTACAATTATTTACTATTTCTTGTTTTAAGAACCGCGTCAACATTTTCTTTTTGTCCCCAAAGCGAGCAGAATAGTTCATGTTCATAAAGTAAGAAATTTTTATACTCTTCGTTATTCTTCGTCCGTGAAATTAATGATTTTAATCCTCTCACCTAAAAGATGACAAAATCAAATACACAAAACACTCAACAAACTTTTAATTAAAAGCAAACAAATAAATACCGCTTTAACAGAATTTATTCTATCATAATTTGTACTATCACATCCATTTTCACCTTTTCTTTCATCTTTTTCTGAAAAATAAACATAACGATTTAAAAATTCGCGTGCTCTATTAACACATTCACCATGTGGAGCAATAACGTCGACAAAACCTAAATCCAATCCATTCTGAGCGGTTATTGGTTCACTAGTTCCCATTATTTTTAACGCGTTAACTGATCCTACAATATCAATTAATCGTTTTCCACCACCCCATCCGGGAATCACACTCATTTTGACTTGGACAAATCTAATTTTTGAGGTTTCTTTGAATATGATGAAAATAATTGTCAAATAAAAATAAAGAATTATAAAGAAATACGATCTTATAAAGGAGAAAATAAAAAAAAATCGGGGAAATACCTGAAATGCATCTGTGATCACAGGCAGTCACCAATTCAGCACCACCGCCTAATGCATAACCTTCAATTGCAGCTACTGAAATTAAGGGTAATTGACCAAATCTAAATAGTGTATCTTGCATTAATAAACTCATCTTTTTTCCATTTTCTGGAGTTAAGATATGGTCCTTTGCTACACTTAAATCTTTTTATATTATAATTAATAAATGGAAAATCAGATATTTCAATTTTTTTTTTTTTTTTTTTAAAAAAAAAAAAAAAAATCAGGAATAAAACAAACCTAACCCTGAACAAAAAGTATTTTTACTTCCAGTAACAATGATTCCAATCGATTTATCTAATTCATTAACATTATTTAACCTATTCTCATGATTTAAATTATCGGTGGTATTAGATTTAACAATATTTTCTAATTTATCCACTATGTCTGATAATTCCGCCATCATTTTGCCACTTAGTGCATTATGTCTTTCTGGATTTTGCAGTGTTAATAATCCTATTCCCCGTGAATATTTTGGATCGAATGTTATTGAACCATGGCTAATTAATTCCTCAAGCAATTAAAAATTTCATTAAGAGAATAGAGTTTAAAAAATCCACAGTAATTAAATTTATGGTTTACCCAAGTTTTCGAAGTTCTTCTCGTATATTTGAAAGATTCCCATGTAATGAACTAAACTTTCGAATAATTCGTGTTTTTAAAATTGTTGGTATCGAATTTAAAGATGAATTTACGAATTTATGTAAATTTATTAATATCATTATAAATTTAACAGTTAATAAAAAAGATGATACGTAAAATGTTGATCAATAATCCGTATTTATTTTTATACTAAATATCCACCAATCAAATTATAACGAACGTCGTTAAATAAAAATAAATCGAAGAAAAATTTTATTATAATGCAAAATATATATCATATGATAATATTTTTCGGTACTATAAATTCATACCAATATCGTTACAAAACCATGCATTCAATATCGATGTCAAATATCTAAGCTTTTATCGTTATACAGTATTGCAGTATTAATATTTAAAAAAGATGTTACTTTTTTTTGTGTTGATTAAGAAAAACAATATATATATGCACTTTTCTTTAACAACTGATTTTTGGTAAATATGAATAATAACATCTTTAAAAATATTGAGTGTAGTCAAAATTTATCAAGTTTTCTTATCATGCTAAGATCTAGAGCTGAGTCGATTCTATAATTTAACGACCAATTTTTATCCCTGCGGGGAGGAAAAAAATGAAGCCGTCCGGGAATCCAGCATCATTCTCAAATATTAATCTTAATCTCTCATTATTATATTATATCCCGCAATGCGAAATCCTGAAGTCTTAAACCGTCTAGCGTACATAGTTGTTTATCAATATAAGGTCATACAAGTTATTTTTTTGGTTTTCATAACATAAAATTTTAAAAACGACCCGGCAACCCGGCTTTTAGTTTTATTTTCAAAAATTTTATTTTAAAAAACATATAGAATTTTTTTTTATACATTTTGCAGTTGTTTTCATTATTTTTGGGACATCTGGTAAAAAATTGACCGAATGATTATTTGGCGATTCGATAAGTTTTTACAATTGTATCCTGAACGATACTACAATGTCAACACATCCAAAATTAATTTGAATATGTGTCCAGTATGTTTGGTGTGTTTAGTCTGTACAAAAATTTTGTTCTTGTCAAATAACAGATTTGACAAACAAAAAGGGTTCTGAATATGTAATAGTTATATCCTGGGCAGTTGGGTATAAGCGGGGCTGAAAGTCCCGCTTATACATAGTGCCCAGGGTATAACTGATTTATGCCCTGCGATCTTGATATAGTGACCAGTGTATAAAACTGATTTATGCCCTGCGATCTTGATATGGGGTGGAGTCAATAAAAAAGGGACAAATCATTTTTAGTATAATTTTTTTAATTTTTAAATTAAAATATCTTAATAACTAATTAATCAAATTTGCTAAATTTTTTTTTTATTTTAATTTTGGAATTATATAGAATTAAAATAAAAAAATATTATAAAATTTAATAAAATAATTAAAAAGATATTTAAGCTTAAAGTCAAGAAAACTTTTACTTAGAAAAAATTTGTCCCTTTTCTATTAACTTCACCCTATATATATCATAGAAAATGTATAGAAAAAAATTTTTTACTTACAACAGAAAACAAATGCCCTTTATCTGATTGTAATAAAATTATTGATCCAGTAGTATCCAAACAAAAGTTTTCTGAATCATTATCTCAGTCTAGTGGAACTTTTGCTCTTGCAGAAATGTTAGGCGATGACTTTGGATTAGGTTTTCTAATAGCTGTATTACCATTATTAGGTCAGAAAGACCCCCACTTTATGAAAGTAAAACACAAAAAAAACGTATTATAGAATCACCAGATAAATCTGATAAAAGACAGAAGTCAACTACTAAGGAGGGCAAATCTTCTACAGTAAAAAAACTTATCAAAGAATTAAAAGATGATAGTATTAATAAAGATTTAATATCTCCCCCTCAGTTATCTGAAAATAGTTATACTTATCTTTATAAAGAAATAGTTAAAGCTAAAGCTAATAATGATATTGCAAGTCAAAAGCTTTTAAACTGCTACTTTCATTTCGATAAAAAATTATTTGATTGCTTGAATTATTATAAAAACAAAAAAAAATATCGAGATTGTAAGGCTCAAAGTAAAGTAGATAAAGAAGTAAAAGACCAACTACCTAAAGAGATTAATAATACTACACGTTGGAAACAAACAGAAAGAGCTAAAAAAAATATAAACTTTTCATTGAAATTAGTATTGATAAAATGGAACAGGTTAAATCTTATTCAGCTTTAACTATTTTAAAATTAAGTTGGAAGAGTATCGACTATATTGTAGATAATATTAAATCATAAAATCATACATATACTGCATATTGTATAACTGTTACACAGCTAACATCTGGGTCAGCGACTTTTATTTTATTTTTATTATTTTTGCTGTATATCGGAAGAATGTTATAATAAATTTATATAAATTTACTTTTAAACATTTTATAAAACCAAATTTCATATATATACGTATAACTATACCTGTCCTCCTTCTGGGCTCGCTAACCGTAAATTTGATATCTGGTCTACTACGTGGACCAAATACAACACCTCTATTAATCATATTTTAACTATCCAAATCTAGGTGAGCTTTGACCACTCTAGTAGGT